GCCTAAGCAGCTGCTCTGCCAGGACTCCACATAGCTTTGTGTGTCAGACCCAAGGCCCTGGTGGCATGGGCTCATCAGGGGATCTCCTAACAAGAGTTGCAAAGATCTGTGGAAGAAGCGTGGTTTTCTGGGATCACACAGTCACTTACTGCTTCCCTTGGCCGAGAGGCAGGGGGCTTCCCTTGGCTGTGTGTCACTTCTGGGTGGGCCGTCACCCCGTCCTTTATTCTCTGTGTGTTATTTCCCTAATCAGTTCCAGTGCAAGGACCTGGATATTTCAGCTGAAGTTACTGTAGTCATTCTCCCCTTTCGTTCCTTTCCATGAGTGGCAGGGACTGCAGCTGCTTCTATTCAGCCATCTTGGCCCCTCCATATGCCTATTTCTTCACGATTGACTTTTAAACTAGTTTTCAGGGCCTCCCGCCTGTTTTCATTTTCAGTTACATCGCCTGCATCATTCCCAACAATACTCCAGTTAAATGTTTGATTTTGTCATTCTTTGAGCAGATCCCTTACTTTTTTACCTCCATATATTTGCTGGTGGAGTTCACCCTTGGACAGTGCCTGCCTTTCAAGGTTCTATTTGTGTTCCAAGATCAACTCAAGCGCCACTTCCTCAATGACCTCCTCTAAGTTCCTCTAGAACTTTGTACTACACAGTTGCACCTGGCCCATTCTGTTTTGTTTTCTTCTTATTCTCTAGGAGAGGCAGGAAATACTGTGAGCCATCAGCATAGTAATGGTAATTGGGACCTAGTGATGGTGGAAGTTGGTAAAATCACCTAGAGATGGAGTGGACTAAGAAGAGATCCTAGGGCAGAACTCTGGGGGAGACCACCATTTCATGGCTGGGAAGAGAGGAGATCAATAGAGCGAGGGGGAAAATCTGAAGAAAGTAGTGTTGCAGACACCAAAGGAGGAGTGGACAGTGTGTCAAATACTGTTGATAAGTCAAATATGATGAGAACTCAAAAGCGACTGGGAAGCTGCCAGTGAACTGAGGCAAGCAGTAATGGCAGAATCCAGAGTGAAATGATGTATTCACTAGAATTCATGTAAATTTCAAAATCTCGGTGACTTAACATAATAAAAGCATTACTTTTCACTCGTAATACAGTCTAATATGTTAGTTCTCTTGTACATTTAGATTCAAGGCCAAGTCTTCTTCTGTTTTTTTTTAAACAGCTTTATTGAGATATAACCAATATACTATACAATTCAAAGTGTACATTTCCATGGTTTTTAGTATATTCACAGAGTTGTGATCGATCACTGCAATAAATTTTAGAGCATTTCATTACCCCAAAAAGAAACACTGCACCCCCTTTTCTCATCCTCCAAAATCTCCACTCCCTACAACTATTAATCTACTTTCTTTCTCTATAAATTTGCTTATTCTGGACATTTTATATGAATGGAATCACATAACATGTGGTCCTTTGTGACTGGCTTATTTCACTAAGCATACTGTTTTCAGTATTTAGCCATGTTGTAACACATATCAGTACTTCATTCCTTTTTATGTCTAAATAATAGTCCTTTGTATGGATATACTACATTTTATTTATCCATTTAACAGTTGATGGACATTAGATTGTTTCTACCTTTTTTGGTCATTATGAATGATGCTTTTATGAACATTCATGTACAAGTTTTTTGTTTGGATGTATACTTTCATTTCTCTTGGGTAGATATCTAGGAGTGGAATTGCTGGGTCATATGATAACTCTATGTTTAAATATTTAAGAAGCTGCCAGACTTTTGTCCAAAACAATTACATTTTTCATTCCACCAGCAGTGTGTAAATGTGTCAATTTCTCTACATCTTTGCCAGAACTTGTTATTATCTGACTTTTTGATTATAGCCATCTTAGTGGGTATGAAATGATTTGCATTTCTCTAGTGAATAATGATGTTGGGCATATTTTTATGTGCATTTTGGCCATCTGTCAGTCACCTTTGAGAGCTATCCAAGTTTTTACCCATTTTTAATTGGCTTACTTTTTTATTATTGTCATAATAGTTTTTTTATATGTTCTAGATATTAGTCCCTTATCAGATATATGATTTGCAGATATTTTCTCCTGTCTGTTGATTATGCTTTCACTTTCTTGATGGTATTCTCTGAAGCACAAAAGCCCAGTTTATTAATTTTTCTTTTGTTGCTCCTGTTTTTGGTGTCATATATGTAAAATGATTGTCTGATCCAAGGTTATGAAGATTCACTTCTATATTTTCTTCTAGAGTTTTATGATTTTAGCTCTTACATTTAGGCTATTGACCCATTTGAAGGAAATTTTAAAATATGATATTATATAGGGGTTTAATTTTATTCTTTTGCATGTGGTTTTCCAATTCACTTTTCCTCTCCTTCTCGTGCTCCAAAATATAACATGCCGCATCTCAGACTGCATCCCCCTTTTAAAAAGATGTAGCATGATATAATAAAACACATGAAATAGACATGCATTTAAATTTAGGTCAAATCATTTCTAACCATGGAGCTATATCATTTAGGGTCCTAGCAGGAAACAAGTGACACACTCAAGGGTTTGACTGAAGAGAGTTTAGAGAAGGGGCTATTTACAGATGTGTAAAGATGGTCAAGAAAACCAACATATGATGGCAAATCCTTAACATTAGGGAGCCATTACTACCCCTAGACCTAAACAGCAAGAGGAAGGAACAGCATTCTCAAAGCCTGCTAAGAGCTGGAGCTTCAGAAGCAGCAGGGGGTATAAATATCTCAACATCTCCCTCATCCCAGTGCTCAGGCTTCCTGTTGGCTAAAAACAACCAGAAACCAGAGGGAAAGGGTTCCTGGGTATGCCTTCTATGTAGGTCAGCCTCTCAGAGCACAGGACAGGGCAGAGAAAGAAAGGAATGGATCCAAGGGGGCAAAGAGAGAAAACCACTACAGTGACCTTGGACAAGTAGGTTAATCTATTGTCCCTAATCCCTAAGTTCCATATGTAAAGTACCTGGCACCCAGCAGAAGTTGCTACTGCTACTAGCAGTGCTCTGGAGGCACACAACATTTCTTAACTTACACTACTCCTTATCTTCTTTTTCAGTGCTCTAGTCAGCTACTCAGAAGTAAGCTGGCATAACTTTTACACTTTTACACTGTCTGAAATCATATCAAACAACTATGTGTACAACTTATTAAGGAACTACTACAAAAATAGAGTTGGGGATCATAAAATAAATTTTTAAAAACATAAATCATGAGAGATAATGAAGTGGTTGTTGTTTTAAGTTACTAAAAAAAAAGGAAGGGGGGAACCCATAGATCATATCCTTCTTCTGCTTACACAACAAAAACCAGTGTCCAAAGTCTTGTGTCCAATGTCTTCCAACCTCACTCAGAATAAAAGCCCCATCAGATCCTACATGATCTTCCCCTGCTCCATACATCACTGATCTCTTCTCCTACTTCCCAGCTTATTCACTTTGCCCAGACATAAAGACCTGCTTGTGATATCTAGAAATCAGTGCAGCTCCCACCTCTGAGCCTTTACACTATCTGTTTCCTCTGTTTGGCATGCTTTTCCTCTGGATATCTTCATGAGTCACTCTCTCACCTGCTTCAAGTGTTCAATGTAGGTTACTTTCTCAATGAGGCCTATACAGACTCCCCTATTTAAACTTACAAACTCATCGCTACCCTGAACCAGAACATGTGATTCCCTTACCCTACTCTACTTTTTTCCATAACACTTAACATCATCTAACATACTATATGCTTTACTTATCTACTGTATATATTGTTTATAGATTGTGTTCCCTCCGCTAGAATATAAGCAGGGACTTTGTTATCTGTTTCATTCACTAATATATCCCAAGTGTATAGAAGAGGGCCTAACACATATTAGCTTCTCAATAAATAACAGTTGAATGAATATAGATAAAGAATAAAATCAATTCTGATTTATAAAGAATTAGGAAAATCTAAAATGTTTTATCCATTGGGGTTCTCCCACAGTTCTAAAGCCACAGATCCTTCAAAGCTTTAGAGAAATGCAACAGTTATTGCTAACAAAAGGACCAGATTCCACTAAGATATTCTGAAATAAAGCCCTTCTGTATGGCAAGAGAAAACTAAGCTCTTGAACACTGTTGTCATGGTGATCCCAGGTTGTCTCATCCACAGGAGAGAAAGCTCAGCAAGATTCCCAGTGAAGCCTTTAAGCCATCTGGATAAACATCAGGCAGAAGGCAGGCATTCACCCAGGGGACCAGGGCTGACTTTCAGGTTTTGTTCTTCTCGAGAGGAAGTGAGAGAGGAGAAGAAAGGAAGGAAAACAGTGGGCTGCCTCTATGGGAAGCCTTGCAGGATAATGCATTATAGTAATTTGCACAGCCTGCTTGGTGGAATTGGCAGAAGTGATCTCTTGCACTGCTCCACTTAGTTGCAAAAAAATGATATTGATTGTTATGGGAAATAGAAAGCTCAGAAGCCAAGTTGTATCCAAGGCTCCAAATTACCTGTCTTTGTCTTATTAAATGAGAGGAGATAAACAGTAATGGACAGGGAATAATGGGTGATTTTCAGATTTGTTGATATCAGTGGGTCTAATTAGAGTTATATACACCAGATTATCTGATGAAATCTGTGAAATTGAAAAAGTTCCCTAAGAGAATGAATCATAAATTGAAACGATGACTTGTAGAATCTTCTCTGCATTGAAACAGGAAAACCAACTGAGATTCTGTTGCTAAGATATTGCTGGGTCATTTTTTAAAATAGCTAGCTGAAGATAGGTCTGTAAAACACTGATTAATTGGGCCATAATAGTAATTAGCCTTTTAGTTCAGGTGGCCTGTCTTTCCAGCATAGCCCTGGAAACAGATTATTTTTGTGCTAATGAGATATGTGTTTCTCAAGCAACGACAAAACATCTCCCCTAATGGAATTTTGTTTTATCTCTCCTCTCTCTGTCCATCTGTCTGTCCGTGTGTGTGCCTCCCTGGCTCTCCTTCGCTCTGTGGGACGACAGAACCATCTGCTGCAGAATCCCAGGGGAAAGGCAGCATCTCCGAGGATGAGCTGATCACCGCCATCAAAGAAGCAAAGGGCTTATCGTATGAAACCTCCGAGAGCGCACGGCAGGTGGGCCAGCTGGCCGACAGGCCGGAGGTCAAGGCCAGGCCCGGACCACCAACCATCCCCAGCCCCCTGGACCATGAGGCCAGCAGCGCAGAGTCGGGGGACTCAGAGATCGAGCTGGTGTCCGAGGACCCCATGGCCGCGGAGGACTCGCTGCCTTCCAGCTATGTGAGCTTCAGCCACGTGGGCGGCCCTCCGCCATCGCCCGCCTCGCCGTCCATCCAGTACAGCATCCTGAGGGAGGAGCGCGAGGCCGAGCTGGACAGCGAGCTCATCATCGAGTCTTGCGACGCCTCCTCTGCCTCGGAGGAGAGCCCCAAGCGGGAGCAGGACTCGCCCCCAATGAAGCCCAGCGCCCTGGATGCCATCCGGGAGGAGACGGGAGCCCGGGCCGAGGAACGCGCGCCCAGCCAGCGGGGCCTGCCTGAGCCAGGTTCCTTCCTCGAATACCCCTCGGCTGAGCCCCAGCCTGGCCCGGAGCTGCCCGCTGGAGACGGAGCCCTGGAGCCCGTGACGTCCACGTCGCCACGGAAGCCTGAGGAAGACGCAAGTTCCAACCAAAGTCCTGCGGCCACAAAGGGCCCCGGGCCTCTAGGCCCTGGTGCCCCACCCCCACTGCTGTTTCTCAATAAACAAAAAGGTAAAGGATCCGACTGCAGCAGAGAGGCTTGATTAGTGTCCTCCCTCTGGGTGTTCTGAGCATTCAGTAGGGGCGGTTCTGGCTCAGCCCTGGAGTTATCCCCATGCTGATCAAACAGTTGACCAGAGAATAGTTCCAAGGGGGTTGGGAGGAGATGAGAGAATTCAGATCCACAGCTAGGACAGAAGTCGGTGGCAGAACAATGTGCTCAGGGCGAGCCAGAACTGGCTGAACCCAGCCTCCCTGGTAATGAGCGGTTTTGCGTTCACTCCAGGATCTCCTGAGTGGAGTGCATGTGCCTGTCCTTCCATTCCAGGGCTGGATTTCCTCCCCGGGAAAGCGATGCTTTTCTTGTCATTGTCCAGGCTCTGGTCCAGGCCCCCTGCTCCGTCCCTGAAGGTGCTGAAACCCACCACTAGCATATTCTATTTTGCTAGGCAGGCCTGTTTTTTAAGTGTGCAAAGTGGAGCTAAGCTTTATCCTTTCTCTTACTCAAGGGCAAGGGATTTGAACCTTGATAAGGCTTTTGTGTCCTTGTGAGTCAGGCAAGACAGGTATCACAGTTGGATCCAGAGTTTTCTCTTGTCCCTAAGCAAAACCTAAGGTAATTCATTCATTTTTAAAATCTCTTATTACTTTGAATGAATTTAATGTTGTCATTATGTTCTCCCTATGAAAAATTTTGAGGCGAGTCTTCAAATGCAAGAAAAATGGAATTCATTATTTATTTCCCAGACACTATATGTGTACAAGAGATTCTTCTCCCAAAATTGTTCACCACACCTGATTGCAGTTGTCTTATGGAATTCAAGAAAGGAATTAGACTCACCTGACTAAGTGAGGTGCTACTTATTCTATTTTTGTTAATGGGTGAAGTTAGAGAACCTCTACCCGGTTCCTGGGGAGAGAACACTCAGGTAGGACTTTAAAACAAACCCTCACTTTATTCAGGGTCCCCTCCTACCCATCTCTTCTACTTTTCCTTATTTTAGAAGTGCTTTCTTTGCCTTTTGGAGATAAATGATTTCAAGGGTACACCCTCTTTCCTGTATCTATGCTAATTTGAATGATGTTAGCAGCAGTTAAAGTGCTTCATATAAAAATAGAGGACGAAATCTTTCTCGTTATTTTAAATTGGAAGCTAGCTTCTAATTTTTTTTAAATTAACACATTGGAATAGAATGGAGGAACCTAGAGGACTGAAATAAAAAGATGCCTGGTTGCTGGTGGCTCAGACACATGGCCTGGTGTGGGGGCTGACTCTTGATTTCCCAAATAGCTCTCCTTTAAGAGCTGAAAGTGTATTTAGTGTGTGTTACAGGGAAGATATTTGAAGACAAATTTAATGGTGGGAATGTGTTTGTTTGGTCAATATTAAAACCATTTTGGATTTTTTTTGCTACTCTTAACTGTGGTAGGAAAAGACCCTGCAGCTTGCAGGGAGCCACGGGAAACAGCAGTAACATGGACAACCTTTAGCCCCTTGGGGCCCTGAAGCAGTCAAGCTTTCGTCATGCTGAGCAATGTGTTCATGTCACTGTAACAGGCATGTGTCTCCATTTGATCCCATAACTAATGTTCCTGAGATAGTCACCATGTGCACAGTGCTGTTCAAATATGTTTATTCTCAAAAGTAAATAAATCCGAGGGCTAAAGAGAAAAGGGAATTTTGCAGGCCTATTGAGAAACAAGGACAACAGCTGGGACTGACTGGCGAGACATTTGATGAAGAGCTGAGGAGATGGAAAACTGCAGCTGTGAATGCAAAGGCTTCAGAGCATCTTTTATGGCCAATTTGGTGTCATTTGAATCTCTGTACAAGTTGCCCCATATGGCTTGGACCCTGTGCTGCAAAGTTTAGAAGGTAGAGAGGAGGGAGTAGCAGTCTTTTCAAAAGATGAAGGTGTGCCAGGGTGAATACTCTCCACTATCCTCTGCGCTGAGGGGTCCTTTGAAATCTGGTCTCCCACTGAAACTCACTGCTCCACTGCACTATCTATGAAGAGTCTAAAAGGGCATTCTGAAGCAGCCAAGAACTGGAGGTCCTGAGCAGGTGATTGAGCAATGCCAGCAGGCAATTTGAGCTCTGAGGTTCCTTTTGGTCTCACTTGCTCTGGCTCAGCAGGTGAGAAAGGATCAGCACTGCCCAGCATCCCCAAGGTTGTTCTTTCTTTCTTTCTTTCTTTTTTTGAGACAGAGTTTTGCTCTTGTTGCCGCAGCTGGAGTGCAGTGGCATAATCTCAGCTATCTGAAACGTCTGCCTCCCCAGTTCAAGCAATTCTCCTGCCTCAGCCTCCCAAGTAGCTTGGATTACAGGTGTCTGCCACCATGCCCAGCTAATTTTTGTATTTTTAGTAGAAACAGGATTTCACCATGTTAGCCAGACTGGTCTCGAACTCCTGACATCAGGTGATCCGCCTACCTCATCCTCCCAAAGTGCTGGGATTACGGGCGTGAGCCACCGTGCCCAGCCCCAGGCTGTTCTTAATCACTGTTCATGGAAAGCAGGTTTGTGCTCATGCCAAGCTTGACTCCCCGCAGCAGTGAGGTCAGGTCAGCTTCTGTGGTTTCCTGCTCTTGTCCACTGAAGCTTCTGGCCATAGGCATACATTTAAGTTTTTTCATTCACAGGTATCTGGGGATGAGCCATCCTGTTGATGCTGGACAAAATTTCAGAAAAGCCTAGAAATATTTAGAAAAATATAAGGTTTGGCTGATATTCAATGGCATCATTGCATGTACCATGGAGGAGCACCAGGGTTACTGGTGCACATGCTCTAACAACGTCTACTTTTGGAGCTTTCTCACCTTTCAGAGACCTCTGCAGTTATTGCACTGGAGACAAAATGCAATTCTTTCTTCATACTTCAGTTTTCCTTCTTGTATACCCCTGAGCTCCTGCTACCCTGTATTTCTGTTACCCTGCACCTTCTAGGATGACCGGTTATAAACATTAGATTCTAACGGGGGTAGATATGTTTTCCTTTCTACAAGATTAGCCCTAACAGTTAGGAATGTACAAGTAAAAAGCCAATTTAAAAATTCTTATAAAAGCACTGATACCCAGTGTGATTAATCAGGATAAGTACATAATTTTTACGAAACCTATTTGATTGTAGAAACTTTTTTATTATAGTGTGCCTTTGGGTTCATATTCCAGGGGATACACTTTGGGAAATCATGGTCTCTTTGCCCTTGAGCTTGTTTCCTGCATTCTGATTACTTATCATGCAACTCAAAAGTGTGCAGGTTGGATCCGCCACGTTGATATCACGTGAGAGGTTTTTAGAAATGGGGAATCTCAGGCTCCTTCCAAGACCTACTGAATCAAGATCCCCTGTGCATAAGTGCATATGTGATTCTTATGCACTTTAAAGCTTGAGAAGCAGGGTTTTAAATGATGGCAGTACACTTTCACATTCCTGTCTGAACCAGAGTCTCTTCTTGGCAAGCAAATGGCCTCTTTTCAGTCTCATCTTTCTTGTCCTCTCTGGTAATCTAATATCATATTGTTGATCAGTGCTTGAAACTTTAGTAAGAAAGTAATGTATGTTTGTTGTAATAAATTCAAACTGTACAAAATGGTACAAAATTCAAAGTTAAAGGGTCTGGGCATGGTGGCCCACACCTGTAATCCCAGCACTTTGGAATGCCAAGGCAGGTGAATCACTTGAGCCCAGGAGTTCAAGACCAGACTGGGCAACATGATGAAACCCTGCCTCTACAAAAAAATACATAAATTAGTTGGGTGTGGTGGTGTACAGCTGTAGTCCCAGCTACTCAAGTGGCTAAGGTGGAAGAATCACTTGAGCCCAGGAGGTCGGACCTGCAGTGAGCTATGATCACACCACTGCATTCCAGCCTGTGTAACAAAGAAAGATACCCCGTCTCAAAAAAAAAAAGAAAGAAAGAAAGAAAGAAAGAAAGATTAAAGTTTCCCTATTCAACCCTTCCATCCCTAATTCTCAGACATCACCACAGGCCTTTGTATTGTTTGGTTTTTATTATTGTTCTTTTTAAGTATTCAGTCATACGTAGTTTTTCACTGAAAAAGTAACATTATATTGAACATACTGTTTTGTAACTTATTTCATTTAACAGTAAAATCAGGGACAGCATCAGCTCACATGGAGATCATTCACTCCTTCTCAGAACTTTTTCTTCCCTTTTTGTACTGATGTCTCTCTTTCTTGGTTCTCCTTCTACTCTCTGACCTCTTTTCCAATCTCTTTTGTAACCTCCCTTCTAGTTCCTCTGTGTTGTTCCTGAGTTCTGTCCTTGTCTTTCTTCCTTCTGCATATCTTTGCTCTCAAGGTTGCTGTCACCCATGCAGGTTTTCAGGCACTGCCTTATGTGTGACGCTTCTCAAATCTTTTGCTTTGAAGAAGTCCTCTTTTCTAAACTCCAAGCCCATTTCCTCACTGTGCATTGGACATCCTATAGTCCTCTCAAATTCAGTATGTCCATTCTAATTTGTCAAAATTTGCTCTCTTCCTTCTTCTGTTCCCTTCCTGAGCAAATGAAGTGATGTCATTGAGTGTGAACACTCAACCTTCAGGACTGTAACCCTCTTATAGTGTTAAGTACTCATACCTTCTGAATACTGTTAGGAATTTTTCCCATAGAAATGCTACAGCAGGTGGACAAAAATATGTAAATTATACACATGTGTAAATAGAATTAGAAAGATACATATAAATATCTTTCCTATAGCATTTTTCATAGTAATGAGAAAGCTGGAAAAAACATTCCACCAACAGGGAGTTGAGCAAAATGAATTTTCATCTATCCATCCAACGGAGAGCAACAAAATCTTTTAAAAGAACTAAGACTGGATCCAAGTAAAGACTCATTAGCCTGAGATGAAGTTAAAGGTTCTCAGTGCCAGCCTGACTGTAAATACTTCAGTGGAAGTCTTGCAGTAGTGTTTGCTTATAAAATTATCACCTAGATGATCTAGTATATTCTTACTACTTCAAAAATTATTATCAAAACAAAAA